TTTATACAGGAGAAGAAGGGGGCCATGTTAGACACAGGTTTTGTTTTTGTGGTGCCTAAGGTCAAACCCAGTTTGGTGAACGCTGTGTATCCCCAGCCCAGTTTTTAATAAAGTTACCAGTGGTTGTGGTAGGACGGTGTGCAGAGAAGAGAGTTTAGTTTTTTCAGTCAGGAGGGGAGTGAAGATTACCAGGAGAAAAAGCCACCAAGGATGACACCGGGTGCAGGTGGCGCAGTCAGTGAGAACGAAGGGGTGAGTACTCCGGATACGCCCCAAGAGCCCAGTCCAGCAGGGGACCGCTGCCACATTTACTATGTAAGGATTTGAGGTTTTATCTTCAATAGCAAGCTCATCTTGAACTTAGTATATACAAAGCGTTCTGTGAAAAACAATTTCTAGTTGGTCTGCCCTGCACTAGGAGGTAACCTAACAGGTCAGTGAGGCAGAGACAGCAGCCTTCCCCGCCACGGCAGCGCTGTCGAGTGGTCAAAGGGACTTGACCCAGACACCCGGCTTCAGAATCCACATCCGGCGCTGCCGCTGGAGGCCCGGTGAGGCCCTTCCCTGAAATCCCGCGTAGCCCTGGTGAGAAGGGCACAGAGGTAGGGCTGCTGAGGCTGGGAGATTCTGAAAGCAGCTGCGGCAGGTGGGAGCGGAGAGTGGGCTGGAAATTACAAGGTGGCGACGTGGGTGAAGGGTAATGGATCGATTTGAAAGCTGAGTTGGAGATAAAATAGATGGGACCTATTTCCAGACAGCTTGTGTCAGTGCTTACTACAGAAACCTTTTACACACGTGTGAGAATTAACAAGCGGCTGACGGTGGCCTCCCGCGGGGTCGGCTGTGGAAGGCCGCAGAAGGGCCGCGCGCACTGGGCGGCTGTGAGAGGCTGATATCAAGGCGAAGGCGAAGGCGAAGACCGCTCCTCGAAGAGACAAGCAGACGCGAGCCTTGCTTCCTTTCCCTTTGACGCCGTTCTTGTGATCCTCCCGGGGCGGGTCTTCCACACCCGGAACTCGGCTGAGCCAGTTTAGTTGACCGTTTGCTATTCAAGTGGACAAAATCAGTCAAGCATCACACTGCTATTTTCAGTGACCGCACCCCGAAGAAGCTCGTCCCTGTGCCCCCAGCCCTGGCACCGCTTCCCGCCGGGCAAGAGGGCGCTTGGAGGCCGAATGGGGAGGCCGAGGGGAGGGCGGACCCTTGCGGACTGACTGAGGCCTCTGGTGCCGCCTGTTGGCCGTGCTGTCCATGACGCCCTCCTGAGTACGTTTGTCCCTTTTATGCATTTTTTCTGTTTTCTTCATTTCATACCCTTCAACTCTTCATTTTCTTCTTCGTTTCCTTTTTTTTTTTTTTTTTATTGTTTTTTTT